TCTCAAAAAAAAATTGAGAACTCAAGGATTTGAGAACTCAAAGAGAAGAGGAGGTCCACTCTGATACCTGGTAAGGGCAAAGCAGCTAGACAGTGAGCAAAGCAGGTACCAGCCGGACAGTGAGCAAAGAAGAGAACAGCTGGATAGTGAGCAGCAATGTAGACACCAGCTGAACACATCTTTTTGCAACAGAGGACAGAGAGGTAGAAAAGGTTGCAGAGACCTCTACAAATTTATCCTGAAGTCCCTCCCCATGGCCTATAAAACTATTTCTTATTATAGTTATGGAAACTTTCTGAGCCTAACCCTCTGATACCAGTTTCCATTGCCCAACTTTCTTCGCACCTTAGAATTTTAGTGTTAGGCCCTAGAGCAGTGGTTCCCAACCTTCCTAATGCTGTGACCCTTTAATATAGTTCCTCATATAGTAGTGACCCTCAATCACAAAATTATTTCATTGCTACTTCATAGCTGTCATTTTGTTACTGTTATGAATCATAATGTAAATATCTAATATGTGACTCCCAAAAGGGTTGTGACCAACAGGCTGAGAACTGCTACCCTAGAGGCATGAAGACGGATGTGAGTTTATCAGAAAACTTGTTCCAGGATCCTGGATACTTCAGAGCTGGGTGACAGCAGAGGTTTTTGAGGTTAAGTGTTACATTAGTTTCCTTTTCATGTTGCTATGTCAAAATACCTGATGAAAGCACTTTAAGAAGGGTTTACCCTCATTGTTTGAGGGTTGTCTCCTAGCCGATTCTAAAATCTCATTACGTTGACAATCAGGATTAGCTATTTCATCTTGCTCTAGGAACCTGGAAATTATTCTCAGAAGTGTTTAACTGGGTTAGGAGATAATTTATAGTGGGGTACAGGGGGTAAAGAAGATTAATCTGGATTGGGTTTAATGAGAACAATGAAAGTGTCCCATATTCCCACCCTTCTCCCTGCTCATGGTTGGATTCCCCTTCCAAATGCAAGTCAAGGAAGCCACTAGTATCTTTTGGAACTTTAGTCCTGTCACTTATAAAATGGAGAAAATTATTCTTGCTTATCTGGTTATTTAAAAAAATAAGTAGGGCTTGCAAGATGGCTTAGTGGATACACATTTACCATGTATCTTAGTTTTATCTCTGTTGTTGTAATTAGATGCTCTTACAAAAAGAAAACTTGGAGTAATTAGCTAATAATTTCCAGTTACAGTTAGTCACTGTGGGAGAAAGCAAGGCAGGAACTTTAAGCAACTAGTCACATTCACAAGTCAAAAGAACGGTGAGTGCATGCAGTCTCACTTGCCTTTCTGCTTATTCCCCACTCAATTTCTCTACTTTTTGAACAGTTCTGAGTCCTCTGACTAGGGATTATTGCTGCCCACAGTAAGTTGTGTATTCCCACACCAATTAACTTAATTAAGTAAGATCATCCTCCACAGGCATGCACACAGGCCAACCCAATGTAGACAGTTTATCACTGAGACTCTCTTCTAAGATGATTCTAGGTTGTGTCAAGCTGACAGTTAGAGCTAAGCACAGAATCTACTGTGGAATGAAAAATTCACTTCCAAAAGTTGTCCTCTGGCTGTCTGAAACTCACATTCACACGTGCATCCCCTCAAAACACACACACACACACACACACACACACACACACGTATATGCACACATACATATATATGCACATATGCATGTGCACACACACACACACAAATAATAATAAAATAATGGATAAGCATACTTGGTATGGTACCTGTCACCTTAAAAAGTTCATGTGTGTGATGTCTATTTCTAGTAAGACAGATCGGAACATCACAACTTTCTGATGGAAAAGCTGAGTGCATACAGCATGAGTGGGCCTGGGTATGTTGATTCTCCAGTTCTTGCTTACTGGGATCACCCTTATTGGTTAGAATCTTATATCCTTCCCAAGTTCTTCAAGCTTGAAGTCTTGACTAGTCTCCTGGTGCTGAGCTTGCTTACCCCAGAGGAGTTAAGGGCTATTGCCAGGGACCATCCATACCTCTGTCTACCTAGAACGGAACTCCCCACTCTCCTCGCCCTGGCAGGGAGTTGGCAAGGATGGATCTGAAAAGCATTCTGAATGGGGTTCCCTGGGGAGGCATCCGATGGGTAAGTGCTGACCTGCTGGTGGAAAGCATTTAAAGTGATTCTCTGGCATTATCCTAAGAGCATTCATATGCAATCAGGATGGACACATTTTCTAAAAGGCAGATCGAAATGCAACCCTGCTGTGCTCAGGAGCCCAAATTTGGAAGGCTCTTGTCCAATTAAAGTATTATGGAGTCCAGCTGCTCTTCAAGGTTATTGCTGGAGAGGGAGGAGTTTATTTTTTCTTCTACTTTTATGGTGGAGGTGCAACAGACAGGCCAGTGCCTACAGAGAACAAGATAATGTTTGAGTCCATGCTGCTAGGAATAGACCTGAATTCTGTGTGAATGTGTGTCTATGTGCACAAGCTCCTAAGTGCACATGGGTGCATATATGTGTATGCGTGAACTGCCTTCTTTCTAGTTTTGTCTCTTAGTGGGTTTGAAGATTTAGACTACCTAAGTTTGAGATTTATGTATCTTTGAACACATAGGTATGATTTAACTTTCTCTTTCTCCCTATCTCTGCCCATCCCCCTCTTTTGATCAGGTCTCAAGTATCTCTGGCTGGCCTTGAACTTTCTGTATGATGATTTTGAACTTCTCATCCTTATTCTATCTGGAATTACAGTCGTTCGCCACCATAGCCTGGTGTGGGGTGTGATAGTCACTGGCTCTCAGGGCTGTGAGAAGTGAATATAAAGCATTTAGGGTGCCTCATATAAAATGCATGCTTGATAGACTGTTTCCCTCCTTTCCTTTCTGAATGTGGGCATGCCTATTTTGTGATTATATACAGGCAGCTATACTAGGTGCCCAAGCTGTGCATACAGAAGTAGTGGCAGGTAGGCTCTGTGGTATATGTGTTAGGGCTGTAGGTTGTTCAACACCAAGGACAGCACCAGGTCCAGCTCAATTCTCAGGATGCTCAATAAATAGATGAATGCATGAGAAATGAAGGGAACCACTAACTTAGGCAGGAAAGGTAATGTAGGAGGCAAAGATGGGACATAAAATGTCACATGAAACCCAAGGATGGGGATGGGTTGTCAAGAAAATGTAAACCAAGCCAGAATGTCATCATAGATATACTCAGCAGCTGTTGCTACTTTTGAAACTTTGCCTTATTCTCTGTACACTGTTAGATCACAGCCTGTCCCTTTAAGACCCTGGTCTCTCTTAAGAAGCCAAATACCACAGCCTGAAAAAAATTAGGCCATGTTCCCTGTAGCTTTCTCTTTGGGATAGAGAGGTAAGGAGCTGTTTTATGCTGTACACCCAACAGCAGTATAATATAGTTCTTTTTTTTTCAAGTTTGACAAAATTTATTGTAATTTTAGTAAAGACATTCAGCTCAGTCATCTCTCTCCATCTTGACCTCAGGTTAAATGTTATTCGTGTCAAGTAAAGAATATGTAGGAGAGGTGTTATTTCAACAAACAGTAAAATGGACAAATGGACAGTTGGCAGACATAAAAGTTAAATTTATGTATCTTGATATACTTAAATCGTGTATGAACTAATAGTGCTATGTACATTTCCATCGTTTTACTTGGGGCTTATTAAGTAAACGAAAGTGTAGTGAATGAAGTGTTAGGAATATCCGCAGGCTGCTTCTTGGAAGTCATTACATTAAAACTGCCTAGTGAATTATCACAACCCATGAAACTCACCAAAGCTGCCTCCAAATTTAACATTGTAATTTTCAAGGACATTTTATAATTTCTTTTGTCTGTGACTATTAAAGATGCATTTAACTGTCACATTTAAAAAGCCCATATACAATACAAAAATACAAAACAGATATCCTACATACAGAACTCTAAGAGCCTGGGCGGTGAGAGACTCACAATGAACATGTGCCTAAAGAAGCATTTCTGTCCCATCTCAGTCACTACATGTGCTTTTGAAACCACTGCCCAGTATGTATGTACTTAAAATAAGCCATGAAGTTGTACAAATAAGAAATCTTCTAGTAAGTTAGTAACTTAAATGCTTCAAAAGTCACAGAAGGTGTGTTGCCTCATCTGTCTTCATACAATGTTATACCTCTTTTCCTTTTGGTATTTAAACCTTTTAAAAAATAAAAGCCAGCCAAATACTTAAAGCAGTAAGAACACTGATATTTTTGGTGGTATTTGTACTTTAAAAGAAACAGGTTCCTTATGTTTTGCCTCAAGTTCTGGTGGAAATGCTTATAGGAACTAGAATAGAAACCAAGAGAAGCACATTCAAAATACTGATTTACTTTGGTAGCAAATAGTGTCCTTTGAAGAATCCTGAACAGAGAGAAGCTCCATTAAAGTGGGCTAATTATAATACTCAATACTTCATATAAGAATTTTTAACAACAAAAAAAAATTGTTTACAGAGCAAAGCGTCTGTACCCACTGCGAGCGAAGTAGTACTAGCATATAATGGCCCAGAACAAAATGAAATGCCCATAGGAAAAGGTTCATTCTAACCTTATCTAAATTTACTCTCAGTCAATAGTCCAGTAACAATCCAATACTCCCTCTCGGTAAGGCTGTTCCAGGAAGCCAGACACTCAGGTTATGAGGGGAGTGTCAGAGACAGTAACTTTTGGCTTCCCTCTTAATGTGCTAATAGTTGTATCTAAAAAAATATGCAATTCTTAGAAAGGTACCACTTCTGATTTCTTTATTATCTGTAACCCTTGGAAACTAATCATGTGAAACTACAAAATTAGCAAATGTCTTGAAATCTGTATATAAAACATAAATTACCTCTAACTGCAAACTCTCATTTATTAGTGTACCACTCAATCTTTTAAAAAAAGAAAAAAGGAAAAGAAAAAAAGAAGAAAGAAAAACGGCTCCAAAGCTAGTCTTACACCATTCTTTACAAAAAGGAGACGGCTCCTTCTAACTGCACCCACCCACACCCCAATCTCAGAACTCTTCACTTAATTGTCTTGGTCATGGACGTTTCCAAGATGAGATTTTATATTTCGCTCCCACAGCTTCTGGTTATCAGAAAAGCCATGCTTTCCTTTATTAAAGGAGTTTGGTCCGGCTGATGTTGGTGTGTCCCTTCCAATATTCTTCATGCTCATCTTTGCTTCTGGAGGCATTTCTTCTGGCTCACTGACTTCGTCTTCATTGAAAGCTACTGCCACCGAAAGAGTTTTTGGAGCAAGAGTTGGAACTGTTTCCTTAGGCTTACTTGCTCCAAGTCTAATGGAGATGGCGGATGCTTTCCTTGCCGTCTGACTACCTATGGCAAATCCAAACTTGGACATCTTTGTAGGCTTTGTTGGGAGGTCTGCAGCTTCGTCTTCAGCTGATTGCTTTTCAGCGCTGCGACTGGAACTTTCCCCTCCATTACTGGAAGAAACAGTCTTAGTTTTCCCAGGTTTTTCTGCTTCTTCTTCAGGTCCTCCGGCGGCTCCGGCTCGCTGCGGCTTCTCAGGCTTCTCCTCTCCCGCCTTCCCGTCTGCCATCTTCCTATAATATAGTTCTAATGTGTAGTTCTAACTATACCAGGCCTCTCATATTCTTTGTCATGTACACTATGCTGAACTTAATCTTGTGGTATGAAACTTTCTGACACCTCTGAAAGGATATAGAAGCCAGATGTTTCTTTAAACCTGGAGAGAAGCTCCATTGAAAGAGAACACAGAAAGAAAGGGAGGGATGGTAAGAAGAGGCCCAGAGGCACCCTCAGAGAAATCTCCCACCTCATGGGCTGATCATGGCCTTTATCTCACTAAACTTTATTCCTGAGGGGAAATTATATGTCAGCTCCCCCACCACCTCCAACCAATTATTGCCTCTCCATTCCTACATTTAACATACGCTCATTTTTCTCCTTTTTAGGTTATCTGGCTATTTCATAATTATTAGTTCAACTAACTTCAGCTACCAATTGGATATCTCAGGATTCCAATTTCAAATTCTTAGGACTGCCTCTGATTGGCTGAGCTTGAGTCAGGTATATATTAGAAATGTTAGAGAACAGCCAGTCTTAGTGGCCCCTTTCTTTCCAAGGATGAGAGCAGTGGCTTAGTGGCTGCAAACATGCAAGCATGCAAACATGGCTGAGTCTGTGCAGAGTGAGGAAATCTTCAGAACAATAGTGGACGAGCTGGGAGCATCACCTTCATCCTTAGGACATAGGTAAGGAGACACAGGAGTGTAGAATTTATAGGACTAATGGACTCTCTGATCCTGTCCATATGGCTTATAATGGAGTTATATTTTAGTGGATCGGATTTAGAAAAAATTCTTCCCCCTCCAAGGCCAAAAACTTCCTAAATAACATCTAATGGAAATGATGGATATTAACAAATATAAGAGCTTTGTTCTTGAGCAAAGTGTGTCAAAAGTCAATTCATGTGTTCCTGTGAGATATCTGTAAACCCAAGGGGAATGGATTAAATATGCAAATTCTTAGATTTAGTTTAGAGTTCCTTCTGAGACTTCACATTAGTGAGCTGTATGTTTCTCTAATGCAGTGACTCTCAGAGTGGTCACCCAGAAGTACCTCAATATTGGTTGAAATGCAAATCTGTGGGCCTTTCTCTAGACCTACAGGTCCTCGACAGCTAGGTTTAGCAGGCTCTTCAGCAAGTCTTACCTTTTTGAGAACTCAGATGCGTGTGAAAGCTGGGAACGCCCTTGATCCAGATGTAGGACAGGACTATTTCATGGTTCAAGGTGTCTTAGGGTGTATAGTGAAGACTGCTGAGCAGGGTCTTTAGAGTAAGCCCCCAGGAGACTGAGCAGATGTGATCACATCCAAACACAGCTTTGGAAAGAGTTATAATTCCCAAAGGGGTATTGGTCTGGAAATTCCTTATGATGGCTGAGCTGTAGAAGATACAATTGTTTTCTCTTTCATCCTTCAGAAGACAATGTCAGCATGAGATTCATGTTCATATGACTGACATATTCTACCTCAGGCAGAAGGTGTAAGTAAGGCACTCTGTACCAAATTACAATGGATCAATGTCAATTTTCAATCTTTAGTTGTTTAGTAGAGTGGCAGGTGGGTTCAATATCTGCTATCCTTTGAGTGGTAAAATTCCCACAGTGGTCCCCTGAGGTAGATACTATTACCCTGAAAAATAAATGAAGTAGTTTGGCCACTACTAGGTATTGACACTGAGGGACTCAAGCCAGACAACCACAAGGCAGAACCCAAACCACTAGGCACCACAATTCAACATCTTCCATGGCTCTTTTTTTTCTTCTCTCCAGCCTTGTGTTATATTTTGCCTTAAACTATTTACTGACCTCAGGGAGGTTGGGGCAAAGCTTCCAGGACTTTTGTCTTTTCAACAACTGATGTTGGAGGGGTTGGGGAATAGAAGGATTTATAACTGGGGGAAGGTCTGTCAGTGTGTATGTGTGTGTGTGTGTGTGTATGTCTCTGTGTGTCTCTCTCTCTGTGTGTTAGTCTGTGGTCTGTGTGGCATGTGCAGTGAGGTGGAGATAATGAAAGCAACGATTTTCTGAGTTAGTTTCTAGTCCTGGCCTGGACTTAGACCTAGAAAGTAAAAAAGAAAAATCTGATGGGACCAATCTTATTAGAGCAGTGGTTTTCAGCCTTCCTAATGTTGTGACCCTTTATAAAGTTCTTCATGTTGTAGTGATCCTCAACCATAAGATGAGTTTCATTGCTACTTCATAACTGTGATTTTGCTACTGTTGTGAATCATAATGTTGGTATCTGTGTTTTCTGATGGTCTTAAGTGACTTTTGTAAAAGATCATTTGACCCCCGAAGAGACTGTGACCAACAGGTTGTGTTAGATGGAGGCAGAGATGGTCTTGGAGGTGTCATGAGGAAGCCTTTTCCAGATATTAGAATGGAGCAGCAGTGGTTGGTTTGGGAGAGGGGACAATATATATTTACTCTTCATGAATGAAGTTTATTAGGAGCAAAGGCCATAGGACCATGATAAAGCCTTAAGGTGAGAGCGTTTAAAAAAGGGACAGTAAAATATATTAAAAACAGCAAAGGGACCTTAAAGGGAAAGGATAGTATCCCTTTCAAACCTGGTGAGAAACTTCATTAAGAGTAATAAGTTAAAGTAGAGGTAAGATAGAGATAAAGTTGTCATGAGAGGATGGTGAGGGAAGGCCTCGAGCAGCACACACACACACGCACACACACACACACACACACACACACACACACACACGATTTTCTAAAGTTTTTGAAGCTGGCAGAAAGTTTTATATGATGTGATTTAGTTTAATGTAGCATTCTGCGACTAAGAGCATTGAAAAGCTAGGTACTCAAAACTAGGAGCTGTTTGACAGAACACAGAATAGCTCCCTATTTCTCTGCCCTAGCTGAGGGAGTGTGGACTGATTCCTTCATTTCTTAGAGTGGTCAGTGTCTTGAAGGGACAGGCCCACATTCTAACAGTCTGGAATGAATCCCAGCAGTAATCAGTCTCAACAGGTGTCTCAGGTTCTGTGCTCTCCCCAAAAGAAGAAACCAAATGGACACAGTAATAGCGGAATCAGCCAGAATTAAGTTTAGAGAGCAAGGAAGGATACATGCTTTAAAAAAGAGTGGTCTGAGCCAAGCAACAATGACCTTGACTCTGGCAGGAATTAGGGCTTGTACTTTTCCTTTTCTTGCTATCCTGGTAGCCCATTCTACCTAGAATTCAGTATAAATAGAGGTATAAGATGCAATAATATCTAGAGAGATGTAAGTATTTCTAAAGTTGAGAGGGTCACTAGACAAAAGGATGATACTCTGTCATCTGGCCAGGATGTCCTCCCAGCAAAGCTGAGCTCACTGGGGTCAACCATCACCAACTATTCTACACCCTATTTTCCCAACAAGGCCCCAAGCTGGCCTAGCTCAAGTGACTACCACCACCTATTCTTGTTTATTTATCCGTTGTTTTGTTTATTTTATTGTAACAGGGTCTCATGTAGCCCAGGCTGGCTTCACCCTTACTAGGTAGCCAAGAATGACCTTGAACCTCTGATGTTCCTACCTTCACCTCCTAAGTATTGGGATGTGATATCACACCCAGTCTTATGTAGTGTGGGGATCAAAGCTAGGGTTCTGTGCATTGTAGGTAAGCACACTACCAATGGAGCTGCATCCCTAGCCCTGTGTTTCTTCTCATGTACTGTTCTCAGGGGTCAGTTCATCATCTCTTCCAGAGATAATTTCCTACCTAGCTAACACATGGACTTCCTTATGTAGAGGTGGGTTGGGCTCAGAAGGAGTCAGTCTCACGGGCTGAGAGACTTGTGAGCTAACTGCTCTCAGGTTCCTATAGATCTGGTGTTTCTCAATCTGTGGGCTGCAACTCCTTTGTCAAACCACTGTCTCTAAAAATATTTACATTGCTATTCATAACAGTAGCAAAATTGCAATTGTAAAGTCGCAACAAAAACAATTTTATGGCTGAGAGGAACAACAGGAGGAGCTATGATAAAGGTTACATCATTAGGAAGGTTGAGAATCAGTGCTAGCTGAGAGCTTAGTCTTTGACCTGTTCAGTCTCGTTTTAGAAAAAGGTCCTGTTAATTTAGTTTAGTAAAATCCCTATAGCCTTGCTGTTTCCTTTAAGTGATTTTTCATTTACTGTCCCTCACTCTGCCTCATGGCTATAAATCCCCAGCAACCCTTGTTTGCCTTGGTGTGAAGTTGTATCTCTCCCTTGCTGCATAACCCCTTTGCAGCAGTCCTCTTGGATGAAGCCCACCTTACCTTGTTGACAAGCATTTGGGTATCTTTCTTTTGACAAGGCATGGGGACAGCTTACAGTAGACCTAAATTTTCTCTCCTAGCATATCCATTCTCAGAGATCCCTCCTTTCATGAACTTTAGTACACTCCTAGTGTTTTAGTTAGGGTTTTATTGCTGTGAACAGACACTATAACCAAGGCAACTATTATAAGGTCAACATTTAACTGGGGCTGGCTTACATGTTCAGAGGTTCAGTCCATTATCATCAAGTCAGGAACATAGTGGCATCCAGGCTGGCATGGTACAGCTGGACCTGAGAGTTCTACATCTTCATCTAAAGGTTGTTAGAAGAATCATGACTTCCAGTCAATTAGGATGAAGGTCTTAAAGTCCACACCCACAGTGACACACTTCCTCCAACAAGGCCACACCTACTCCAACAGGACCACACCTTATAATAGTGCCACTCCTTGGGCCAAACATATACAAACCATCACACCTAGTATTCCATGTGGAAGTGTGTTTAGGAACAGTGGCACAGGTTCTAGACTGAGAACAAGTTTATGGCACCTTGGTAGAGTCAGGGTTCAAAATGGAAGTTCAGTGAAGTTATAAGAAATGAAATGTTTTTGTTGCACAGCTGGGAGCATAAATGTGGAATGAGAACTCCTGTACATAGTTGTCCCATTCATCCTCACAGCACCCCTGTGAGAATATGGGGGTCCCTAGGATTCCCGTGTGGATCCCTGGTTCCGGAGGGTGTCCCATGATGATC